ACCTATGAACTGATCTCCCCCCCATCCCTTTTTTATATGGATGGTCTTGTGAAGGCCCTTGCACATAGCTAGAGTTGATGTGAGTTAATGATTCTAATAGATGCTTCATTTTGTAGCCCTTTATCCTATCAGCTGGCTCCTACAAATATCTATCTCTTCTGAGCTATTTCTTGAGCCTTAGAGGAGGTGGGACAAGTGACCTGTTTAGGAATGGGCCCATATCCTTCACTTATTTTCTGCATGTTGGGCAACCACGAATCTCTGCGTTTACTGTTGTTATCACTATTGATAAAGGCCGGAAGCTAGAAGGCAGCCTGCTGCTGTGTAAGTTCAGTTCACTGTCAGAAATACATTCCCTGAATGGACCTACCGCTTCCCCATGCATGCGTTGTTAGCCAGGCTCTTATTACCAGGTACTGGTTCCTCTGAGCCCTCTTGCCGTGGGTTTTTAGTCCATTCAGAGAACGCGATGTTTTCTCCCCAACAGTCCATCTGCTTTTACACACATTGTACATCCTGCCTTCCCTGTGGTTTCTTCCTATTGAATCTTCCTGTATCCCTACACTTCCATCTCCCCAGTCTTCTGCCTTCCTCATATTCCAAACTCTTCCACTCACAGGATTCCTCCTCTGTACTTTTTTAAAATCTGTTATCCTATTTCTTTTCCCTTAAGATAAGATCCTGCAGGCTGTCATGCTGGGTTTCCATTCCATTTTTTTTTCCATGTAATTTTTTAAATTGGTATCCATTCAGTTCACTTGAGAAGCATCTTGCTGTATTTATATAGCTTCCAAAATTTCTCTGAGTTTTAATTTCAGTTCACAGTGATCACAAAAGGTACAGGATCTGATGATATGATTTCATTTCTTTACACTAAAGAGACTTACCTGTAGCTAAATGTTTCCTGCTGCTCGTGCTCCAAAGCCCGGGATTGGAACTCACTCCTGACAGTTGCTGATGGGAAGAATAAGCACTTTATAGCTGCTGGATTGTTCTGTAAATGCTTGTTAAATCTACTTATAGTGTGGGTTTTTGCTCATTTGTTTGTTTTTGACAGACTCGCTATGTTTCCCAGCCTGGCCTCAAACTCACCGGTGCTGGGGTCACAGATGCATGACACCACACCTGGCATCTACAAGTGTAGTTTAGCTCTGATGTTACCTATTTTTCTTTTGATTCTAAATGGTAGTTTTCTTAAGTATAGCAATGAACTGGCTGGCATTTGTTTCTCTTCTGGGACTTGAAATATATTATTCCATACCCTCCTATCCCACAGACTTCTGCTTAAGAGGTGTGTTGTTACTGTAATGGGCTTGTTTTAAGTGACTTGGCATTTCTTTCTCCCCCACCATTTAAAATGCTCTGTCCTGTAACTATTGACAGTCTGACATCTGAAAAGGGTGAAGGTCTTTTCTCATGGTGTGTTTTTGGAGTTCAACAGGCCTCCTGTACCTAGAAGTCTGTGTCATGTCATTCCCAAACTAGGAAATTTCCCCATTATGGTTTACTGAATGGGTTTTCTGTACCCTTCACCTTTATTTCTTTCCATTTGTTTTTGCTGGCCTTTTAATCATGTTAAGCAGCTCGCATGTGCTCTCTTCATTCTTGTTCCCATTATCCCTTGCTTGCATGCTAGTTTGAAAAGCTTCTCTTTGAAAAGCTTTGAGTTTCTTCTGTCTATTTGATCTAGTCTGCTGTTCGTACTTTCAATTAACTTTCATATAATATACAGAATTCCCTGGGTTTGGGGACTTTTTATTGCATCTTTATTACAATCTCCATTTCTTGCTATATTCTTATTCATAGCTTGCTTTTTTTTTTTTAAAACTATTTGTATTGTATTGTATCTCACTAGGATTTTACAAAAAAGCATCCTTCTGAATTCTTTATCAGACATTCCAGTGTCTTTGGGGATTCATGATTTAGAAGGAGTCATATTATCTTGTTTTCTCTTTTCATGGTTTTGTGTGTGTATGTGTGTGTGTGTGTGTGTGTGTGTGTGTGTCTTCATTTGGGGTTTATAGATCTGGTAAAATTAATATCTCTCCTACCCTTTACTGATAAGGCCTTCTTAATAAGTAGATTAGTAAGATATGTCTTAGGGTGTCAATTTGTCACACAGTATTAGGCTTACCTACAACCTCTTATTGTCTCCTTGGTTGTGACCAGCAATCTGGGGCACAGGTTGTTATCATATTGGAGTTGGACAGTGTGCTAGACTTTTCTGTCCCTTTGGCAAAATGCCTGAGTGAAAGCCCTGGGGGGAGAAAGACCTTGTTCTGTTTCAGTGCTTTCGGTTCATAGTCAGCAGAGTCTACTGTCCCCAAGCCTGTGTGTGACACGGCATCACAGCAGAGGAATGTGGTGGGGTATAGGTGTTTACCCACAACAGCCAGGAAACAGGAGTGAAAGGAAGGGGCCGGGGCTGCGGCCGAGATAGACTCTGCAAACCCCCCCCCCCCCCCCCCCGTCCTGTGTTAGCCGCCCGGGAACAGGGAACCTAGAGTGAGGAGCTGTTTGCACACACTGGTCTGCAGCAAGTCTGTGGAGCATTCTCCCGATAATGATTGATACGGGTAGGTGGTCCTGAGGCGGGTGAGAAAGTAAGGTGAACAAGCCAGTAAGCAGTGCTCTGGCATGCATGGTCTCTGCTTCTGGACCTGCTGTGCCTTCCCTTAACGACGACTAATGTGAAAATGTAGGCCAAACAAATCCTTTAGTCCTCTCGGTGGCTTTCAGTCATGGCTTGGTCACAGCAATGGGAATCGAACTAGGACCCCCTCCGTGAGCTACCTCTCCCAGCATCCATCTCCCCCCACAGTCGCATCACTTCCTAAACTCTTTTCAAATTCTGAATCCTTCTATAAGGGACCTAACCTGTTCGTCCTCTGATGTGGAACCAGATCTGTAATGAGAAGCTGTGTCAAGAACCACAGTACCTGCTCGGTAATGTTTCATGGGGGATTGTCAGCCTCACGTGACCACGGGTGAGGTGCCAGCGATCAACGCACGTGACACGCGCAAGTGCAGAGGCGAGACAAACTGTGCACGCTGTTGCTGTGGCTTCCATGCTCAGACGCAGGGCACACAGGCATCTCCTAGCTGTGCGTGCCTGTGGGTGGGGCGATGGGCGAGGCCCACCAGGACCAAACAGAAGCGGGTAACAGCCGGAAACCCGGCAAAACTGCGCTCAGCTGAGGGGCCCACAAAAGCCAGAGAGAAGCGGATGGTGGAGGGCGGCATCAGGAATCGCTTCTACTGGACTAAGCTGTGCCCTGGAGATGGGATGCAGCCAGGTCCTTGGCTGCAGAGGAAACTCGGGGGTCTTACTTTTTTGGGGGAGGGGCACCTAAACAAAACCACGTATGACTGGCACACATAGGTTTCTCGTAGCTCTTATGGGAGGCACTCTCAGCTCCTTCCTGCATTTCCACACCCATTCCCCATGACGAAGCCCTCAGTGGGTCTCATGACAGGTGACAGCGCAGGTGTGACATTACCAAGGTAGGACACGGTTCAGATGGCGCAGCACATGGTCACTCGTTTCTGCGACCACCGTGGTGAGGCATGACATCATGACGGCAGGGGCGTGTGGCAGAGAAGGCCGAGTAAAGATTGAGGAAGGGTCCGGGCACCGGGCATAAAGGTAGCTCCCCAGTCACTCATTACTCTCAGCGACATCCTATTTCCTAACTTTCCCACAGTCTCCGCAAACAGTGCCACTCGCTGGTGACCAAGCATGCAATAAATGGCCCTGTAGGGGTACTTGACATTCCCACGTTAACAGTTGGTCTGCGACCGTCATTCTACCAGGTCGGTCAAGTCTGGCTGACGGGGCAGCTGTCTGCTGAGCCAGCGTGGGAGAGCGTCTGTGGAGTCCCAGAGATGGGGATGTATGGAGGCTGGACTCCACAGTGTGGGGTCCCTGTGTGGATACTGCCTCCTTTCAGGACAGGTCTGGGCTGTGGCATGCTGAGAACGCGCACACGTTTGCTTCCAATGGCTCTGAATGCCTTCATTCTCCTCCCTGACCCCCTCCCTCCCCCTCCACTCCTTCTCCCCTCTTTTCTTTGTTTGAATAGGTGATTTCAACAGCTTGGGTTTGAGTTCAGATACTCTTTCTCTCTGTTGACCCAGTTTGTTCTTGAGGCTTTGTGACTTGTGTGTGTGTGTGCTATTTAAGCACAGGCCTTCTCACCCCTGGCTGGCAAACCAGGGTGATGCCATGCTCCACATCTCTCAGCCTTTTAGGATTCTAGTCGCCTGCTCCTGTCCAGTGTCTAGTCACCACCTGCACCTCTAAACACCTGTCACTTTGGTTCTTTTGTGAAGAAAAAAAATATATACCTGAGCTTTGGATCATCTTTTTAGCCACTTCATTTTCTGAAGATCATTTTTAAGACCTGTAAGTTTTCAAGTAGAACCAAACATGCCAACACCTCTAAGCAACTGGCTGGAGGACCTGCATCCTTTGATCAGTTGCTGAGGCATTCCCTGTTGGGAAGGGGGGGCTTTTAAGCTTGTAAGTAACCCTTTGCTGTGCTTTCAATGCTTAAGAGCTGAAGTTCCTTATCAGCACTGTTCTGCAGGGCATTTGTGAGCCAGTTGTGTGGCTCACTTGTGGTCTCAGAACTTGAGAGGGTGTTACCAGCCTGAGGTATAGTGTGACCCATCTCAAAACAAAACAACCCAGACAGGGTTAGAGGTAAAGGCACCTTCTCACAGTGACTCAGGGATACCAGGTCATATAAGCAGGTGAGAGTCTTAAATTTCACTGGGTTTACAGGCTCAGCTCATCCATAGTGGCTACCCTGGCTGAAACTCCATCCCTAATCTTTTAAAGAAAGTCCATGTGACCACAGGCCATGAAAAGCAATTTTAGGTATCCTCTATACAGAAGCATACATCTATTATATGAGTGATACTTAGCCAGTTATGGGCAGATCTCAGGAACATGATCCCTTAAAAACATTAATAAGACAAACCTAGTCAGGCCACAGGACTGTTTGTAAAACTGAATTTATTAAAATGCTCATAATTAAAAAATATTAAAATGCATAGAAATTAACAAACATCAGTTACAAACATTACGCCGACGAATCTCAGTCCCTCCTTAACTAGGCTGTTTACTGCTTCATCTCTTCACACACGATAGGAACGCAAGGAACTCACATGAAGTGTATTAACGGCACACCACGTTCTGCCGCTGTCCCGTGAAGCCCAGGACCCGTGTGCACCGCAAAGGGGAAAACTTGACACACTCATTACCGGGTGGCCTCGTTTAGTTTCAAGACAAATTCTGGCCCTTCTGTGTCTAATGGAATACCGAAAACATCCGAGGAACATTTAAAGGAAAATCCCCTGAGTATTGATTGGGTCTACTGCTTTAGTCCATTAAAATCCAAAGGCATTTACAAAAGGATTAAACTCTAGTGGTTCATGCTGGACAGGGGGAGGGCTGGGTCCATCCCTCCCTGGCCACTGTCATGCTCTTGGTTTTCCTGGGACTGGGGACACCTCACTGCAGGAATACCCTGTTTCTCTCCATCACCAACTTGGCACAGGCCTCACAGGAATGGCACCGATGCCAGGGGACTCTTCAGATCCCACCAGAAAAGCAGGTTGGTTGGTTTGTTTTGTTTTTTCCTATCCAGTGGCACTTTCTACACTGTCCCTGGCTTGGGGATACAGATGAATAGATACTCTTTTCATCCAAAGTTCTCTTTGTGTATACCAAAAAAGGAGGGAAGAGATATGCGAGGAGGATTTCCTTTTCCATGATGTGAAGTGTGAGTGCTTTCCTGTCCTTAGAAAAAAAAAGTGCAGGCTCTGAAGAAGAGGTAACACAGCGAGTAAGGAGTACCAGGGCAGTTAGGGTGGGGGCAGGGAGTGGCACCTGGGTTTAGCTGTGGAGTAAGAACATCCCTCAGAGGGGAGGGTAGTCATTTCTATCTCTGCACAGTTAGACACTGTATGGCAGGTCCCGGACTCCCCATACAAGGGAGGTGGGAATGTTTCCGCTGACCCTCAGGGCTACTTAAAACACCCAGAACCATTCCTGGCAGGCATTGAAAGCTCAGCCTTCAGGAGGAGGCCTCTAAAACCATTCACTTTCCTTGGCTCCAGGCATTTCACACCACCCCTGTCAGCAGAGGCCCATCCCAAATGGAGTGAGGCAGGTCCTGCCTTCATCCAGCGCCACTGTTATCAGCCAATGACGTGAGGGATAGCCATGTCTCCTCCAGCTGTGCTGGAGGAAAAGCTGAGCACAGATAGGCTTGCAGAGACACTGCTCAGCTGAGCAGCGGGGAGGGCAAGGCACCAGGGAGCTGGGACTTAGCAGCAAGCCACCAGCAGAGAGACCAGCTCTTCCCTCAGCCACCTGATGGCCTGAGAGGAGGCTGGGGCTCAAATTAAATCCAGGCTCTCCTTCCTCAAAGGGCAGCAATCCGGGTGGGGTGTCTCCGGCACAGTTGTGAACGGGCGTAGGAAGACAACGGAGATGGCAAGGGAGCCGGTCACAGTGGCAAGCAGAAAAGTCAGTAGGATTCCCAGTGAGAGACACTGGCCACACAGGATCATAGGACATGGCTAGTGATTAGGTTGCTGGCTGTTGGTCTGATTACGCCCAGTGTCATCAGGCCACCAGCCTTTGCAGAGGCAAGCAGAAGGCGCTTGGTGATTGGTAGTGCCTTCCTTCTGTATCTGCGAAGTCAGTATTCCCGAAGTTGATGAGCTTAACTTTCCCAGCCCATCATGTTGATAACAATGCAGTTATGATCATTTGATTATCATCTTCCCAAGAAACTTACATATCAAGAAGAGGTAAATTAACTGTCCTACTTTCTCATCTTACTCCCTTAAGATCTGTAGTCCACATTGATCAGGCCCAGAGCATGCTGGGAGTGCTTCTCGAAGGCAGGAGTCACTGAGGAGTGACAAGGGACAGGCTTCATTCAATATCCTCCATCTTCATGCCAACCTAAGACAGGTATTTCTTGGAGGCAGAAATACAGGCTGAAATGAGGAAGAAGCTGTTTCTCACGCAGCGAAGCCTCCTTCCTTAGTGGTACGGTAAGACACTGAAATACTGTGAACTCTTGATTCTACCTGGACCCTAACAGCATCCAAACTCAACTCCGAGCTCGCTATTGTTGATAACACAAAAATGATTAAGGCTGAGGTATGCCAGGTCTTCGGCCATGGTACCGTCCATCAGGACGAAATACATCTTGGATAGATTTGGCAAAATGCAAAATCAAGCACAGGAAAGGAGCACTGAGCTTGAGACCAAAAAAAAAAAAAAACCTCAAAAGCAAAGTAGGACTCAGGCACACTTCGAGGCTTTTTCTGTTACGAAAATTCCATTTTATCAAAAAAAAAAAAAAAAAAAAACAACAAACAAACATATTCAGGTTGTCCAGGTAGGTAGTTTTATGCCTTCTTGATCAAGTCTCCAGTTCCCAGCTCCTGCGCTGCTGGCGGGAGCCGTAAGAATGATCCACGTGGAAATGGGCCTGGTGTAGACTCTGATTGCCTGAATGTGAGCATCCTCCGCAGCGACTCACAGCACGCCCGCTGCTTCTAAAGTGCTTCTCGGGACACAAAGCTCCCGGTCATTCGAGTTTTGGACGCACGTTGTTGTCGACCACCTCTCCCACCCTCTCGGCGATGAGCCCCATGTTTCTGGTCAGGTCCTTGAGGCGACTCTCGTGAAGGAGCTTCTGCGTGAGGTATTTCTCCCTCTTGATCTTGCTCTTCGTGACCTTTGACACATCTGGAATGGCGTACGAAATGAAAAACTTCACAGAGTAGATGACGTGCTGTGGGGAGGGGCAGAGGGACGACAGTGTTAGAAGAGGGGAACGGACGGAGACCCTTCGGCTTACCCTTGCTTGCCACCACGGCAGCGTGTATGGACAATGTAGCCTGTCATTCCCAACCGACAGGCTACAGCGCACAAGCTGCACTGTGTTACTTTGACTTGGGAGAAAGTGTATCCTAGTGAGTGTATTCTCATCCATATCCGAACTACCCCCCCCCCCCCCCCGGTACATGGGAGACCGACTCTGATGTCAGCCTGGGCTACGCAGTAAAACAAAAAATAATGAAATGAATATCCCCAAGCCCTCTGTTAAGTTAAAAACTGCTGTTTTTATTTTGCATGTGCTTTCTCCCAATTCGGTGTTCCTTTCCCAGTGGTAAATACTATCCTCTATGTGAAGGTTGGCTCCCAGCTTGTGATATGATTGAAGGGGACTAGGTTTAGCATAAGAAGGTTAGAAGGGGACATTGGGACCCTATCCCTTACTTTCTACATATCAGCTACCACAAGGGGAGGGGGTAGCCAATCCTCTCCATAGCATTCTCCTGGATTGGGGTGCTATCTCAGTATAGGCCCAAAGGCAGCAAGCACATGACCAGAGAGAGAAACCATCAGCCAGAGCAAACCTGCCAGTATTGCAGAAATACAAATCTGGCCAACATGTTCACTGAAGGCAGGCAAGACTGGAAGAAGTGGTTAGGGGTCTGCTGTTGAGGGAAAAGCCAGCAGGCTAGGATGTGGGGATGAGAGAAGAGGAAGCAGAAGGATTCCAAGAACTCTGCTTTGAGCAACTGGCCAGATGAAGGCTTACAGCGCAGAGGACTAGACTGTGTTTGGGACCCAGGGAGGGTCTGGGGTAGCCTACAGGGGGTATGAGAACACTCTGGAAGCAAGGCAGCTCTCTGGAGATTATCAAGCAGAAAGCTTTGGTGGCTCTAGGCCCTGGCTGAGAAGAGGACTCATTTACTCCATCCTTCAGGCAAGCCGACAGGAGCTATTTGGGAATTAACTGCTAATCTGATGTGGCTACTGATAGCACCTTGCCTTGACACAGCCTTCATTATATCCCATAGGTTTTGGTACATTCGTTTCCACTATCATTTGTTTAAAAGTTAAAAGAAAAAAAAAACCTCTCCTTAACATATTTACTGATTTGCTGGTTGCTTGAGAATGCGTCATTTAATTTCTGTGCACACACCCACTTTCCCAAATTTCTCTGATTAATTTCTCATTTAATTGCACTGTACTCAGAAAAGCCACTTGATACATTTTTAATTTCCAAGCATGTGCTGAGACTTGTTTTGCGGCTCCCATGTGACAGAGTCTGGGTGGGGGTGCTGCTGTGTTGAGAGGAATACACAGTGATCTGTGGGTGTCGGCCAGGCCCACTTGGTCCAGAGTGCAACTTCGGTCTGAGGGTTTCTTTTTAATTTTTGGGGACAGTGCAGGTGGTCTGATAAACTCCTCTGCTATTGGTGACTCCCACTTCCCCCTGTAAGCACACCCTTTGATAGTCCGTGATTCTCTATTGGGGACCTAGCTGTCTGTAGCTGTCACTTCCTTTAGCTGCATGGTCCCCTTTATCATTCCCTTGAATCTTTTTTGTTTTCCTGAAGCTGAGCGAGGAAGCTTCCCAGGGCAGTGAGAGGTGGGCTATGTCGGTGCTCACAGATGGGTCACGGGGCCGAGGGGCTGCTCAAGGAATTCACCACAGGATGCTACAGCCACATAGCCAGAGCAGATCAGTGTCTGCTCAGGCAGTGAACGAATGGCTAGAGTGGAGAGAGAGGAAGGAGAGCAGGAAGCAAACCCTGCCTTGCCTTTGGGGACACTGACATCAGCTGGGGAAAAGCAGATGAGTAGAGCTGGTGAGAACAGGATGTGGGTGATGGACACAGGGCAACAGAGGAAAGACAGGATTCATCTTCAAGTTCATCTACATAGAGGTGGGGCTCATTTGTCATTTCTGGGTTAAAGCCAGTATGGTGTGATGCTGTCTTTTGAAACTACCCTGCAGGTTCAGCTTACACATTCCACGAGGATCTCTGTATTCATGAGCCAGTGGGAACAGCCTTAGTTTCCTTTTAGAGGCTTTTTTTTTTGGACAGGGTCTCACCCTGTAGCTCTAGTTGCCCTGGGACCACAGGGGTGAGTCACCTCTGCCTCCACAGAGCTGGGATAAAGACATGCCTCTGTGTTGACAGTTTTCCTCTTTGTGCCTATGTGTGTCTGAGTGTAGGATCTAGGCCAGTGGTTCTCAACCTGTGGGCTGTGACCATCAGAAAGCACACTTTTCTGATGCTCTTAGGAAGCACCAACCATACATTCATTTTTGTTGCTGCTTCATAAATGTAATTTTGCTCCTGAGCGGCATCTCCATTCCTAGGTCGGGAACCACTGATCTCGGCTGCCGTAGCCTCGAGGGAGTTAGGGAAGGGTTCCTCATCTGCGTTCACCAAAAGTCTGTTATCACTCTACTTAAAGGCCCGTGGCTCACCAGTGTTTTTGTTGTGGAAAAATTCAGTTATTCCCTTTCACTGCCTTTCTAGGTTAGCACCGTGAGGTATCAGAACTGTCATTTCCAGATGCCACTGTTGCTGTACAGAATCCTCCTCCCCTCCCCCATTCTAATCTTGGTTTTCTGTCAGCCGCTTGGCCCGATGGTAAGTTGCATCTCTGTTCATGACGTATGTTGTACTTTCTGCTCTGTGCCTGACACCTTTTGTCTGTTATAGTAAGTGTTCCTCTCTTCTACCACCCATTCTCTTGGTCTCTGGTGTTTTTCTTTTTTTAAATCAGATTACAAAGACTCAGAATTTGTTGGACTGCTGTTTGCACATGACAGAAAACTTAACTATTTGTTAAGCTCTTGCAAGGGTTGATTTCTTTCTTTGCACAAGGAATTCCGAGGCCCCATAATCTGTTACTAGTTATCCACTCTGAGAAAGATACTAGATCAACTGACAGTCTACAGCTGTGTCCTTTTCTCAGCGCTGATTTTAGAGAGAGAGAGAAAGCACTCTGAGGAGCTGGCATGCTCCGTCATAGCTCCATGGGCAGAGGCCTTTCACAATCCAGAGTGAAAGTCCAGCAGGAGCCCAGTTAATATTGTAACAAGCGGAGCTCAGTGTCTCTTGACACACGCGTGCTTTTTAACATTTGACGCAGGCAGCTATTTCACTTAGAGCGGTACGGGCTGTTTCTTCTCAGGCCACAGTCATTAGCAAGCAGGAAGGAGGAAGGGCTAGCTACACTTTACAGAGCTGGCAATACTGAAAAGACACAGGCGACCTATGAATATGCTTGATTCAGGACACACATCTCTCACCTCCATGACAATGATAAAGGCCAGCTTGGCAGCAATCACATGCCAGTAATAGATGTTGTGTTTGTACTCCTGTGGGTGCCCGGGTGGGTTGCGGAAGTCCCGGTACCTGGAAGCACAAGCAGGCACGTTAGGAGACACACTTTTTTTTTTTTTTTTTTTTTTTGATTCATGTTGTAGACAAGGGCCGTATTTAAAACCAGAGTCCTCGTTGATGGAATGACTTTTTCACCTAAAGTTCAATTTGGTATCCAACACGGGAAGAAAATTATCCAGTAGTAACTTTCTGCCAGCATGGAACCAGAAAAAGATGGATTCCAGCTGTGTAAAAACAGGGTGGACCTTTACAAGGTAACAAAGTTTCCACATTCCCCCCAAGGCTTTATGCCTGCTCAAGCATTAAAACAACTCGGCTAGCTAAGGGATCAGGTCTGTACATTTTCATAAGGGATCATCAGGGCCGACCGGGCCACGGTACCCAGTGGTGCCGGCTGGTTAAGTCAGCGTTATCACCTGACTCTCGTCGTTTCCCTCGGGTACCCCACTCCTTAGTTCCTGGCTGTAAGTGATTAGCCCCACAGGAAGGCAGTTACTGAGATCAGCCCTGCGTACAGTCAGAACGAGCGGAGCACTTGGAACAACTGTTTCAGGCTTGTCTGACTTCTTGGTTGTGTTACTGAAAATCTGAATCAGAATGGCTTTGAACAGCTGGACTAAGGGCATTTGTACTAGGAAAAATAAACTTGCATGACCTACGCGGTCAACAAGCTGCCAACGGGTGAGTGAGCCAGCGGGCACTATGCGTGGTTGACAGCGGCCGAGGCGGAGCACCTCAGACACCTCACTGTACCCAGCTCTGTCTTTGCTAAGTGTGTCATTATTAGCTTTAGGTTGTCCTTGTCTATACAAAGTAGGCTTATTCTCTTTCCCAGCACTGCTGGGGGTTGAACCCAGGGCCATGCCCATGGATGCCAGTGCTCGCTACGGCTGCGCTAGAGCCTGTGTGCCATGTTCTTTCTTCTATTTTACTTTACTGAAATAGAGTTTTGCTATGTATCCCAGGCTGGCCTTGAACTCACTATGTATCCCAGGCTGGCCTTGAACTCACTACGTATCCCAGGCTGGCCTTCACTGTACCCACTCTCTCGGTGCTGGGGCTATGGGCATGAGCCACCACTCCTGGTTTTATGCCTTGTACACGCTAGGCAGGAACTACTGACTGAGCTACATTTCCCAGCCTCATAAGGCAGTCTTAAGAACTGAATGACTTGAATTTGTAAAACTCTCAGCTATCACCATTTCTAGGAATCACAGGATCTTCTCCTCCACCAACTATGATGTGCCCATCTGCACGTTTTCCAAATTTGGTTTAGAAGTTCTTCCCTTGGTCTTCGTTAGCTTTAATTTTTTTTGAATATTATTAAAAAGAACGCCACGCGAAAACTGTCCCTTATTGCAGACTTAAGTCATGCCAGTCGGAATTTTATTACACGCCCCCAAAAGACTTTTTAATAAGACGAAGTACATTTCCAAACAGGTAAATCGAAACTTGCCTGCACAAGGTATAGTTACCAAGCCCAATGTATGGGTTTTCTTTGTCTGTGTTTTTGAAGTCGGTGATGTTGAAGACGGAGAGAGTGCTGTTGATGTAGCCATTCATGGTGTAGTATGTGTGGTCCCCGTAGGGAGGGATGGAGAAGGACCAATAGTACACCAGGCGGGGAATCATGTCTGATGTGAAAGCAATGATCATGGCCTACGTTGGGAAAAACGAGAAAGGAAGCGTTAGAGTGGCAGCTGTGGCTCCCTGTGTGGCAGCGTCCCTGGTTTTGACCAAGTTGAATTTCTAAGTGTGAGGTATACGTATTCAATGCACAAGACGCTTTGGGAGGTCTTCCATCCTAAGGGAAGATTAAAAGGTACGAGGGAGAGGCCCGGTGGCTGCTTGCTGAGCTTCTGAAATACACAAAACGCTGTTTTGTTGAGAAGAACTGCAGCGTGGCACCATGAGGAGAAGGACTGGCTTGCATACCGTGTGTAAATCAGCGCTGCTCAAAGTTACAGTAGCCACTTTCTCTCTCTCTCTCTCTCTCTCTCTCTCTCTCTCTCTCTCTCCAGGCTGTCCCAGCTTAGAGTTAGAATGCTCTTGCATTAAAACACTCAGGTCAATATTTTGAAGGTCATTTTGCTTCACGTAACTTATTTGTGGAATAAAGAATTTATACAAAGCTGATTTTAAAAAAATAAAATTTACTTGTTTCTCACAGAGAAGAAGGAAAACTGATCTAAACACATCTCTCTTGATCTATAGGTAAACAACAGCCACTAAGCTCACATTCCCTGCCCCATGGTATCCTAGACTTACTTAGACAATCCGTGGCCTGGTCACCTCTATTGGGTTTATTCTATCCACTCAGTCAGGAAATGATGCTAGCTTTATAACATTGAGTATATGAACATCTAAATTTCCAAAAAATTAACTGGCTCAAGTTCTGAAATCACAAATTATCATTTAACACAGGTAGGTATCCTGCACAGAAGGAATGCATGAGTCGGTCGTGAGCCTGTGTCTATGGCAGGCACAAGTGCACGAGGGCGGAAGCCCATCCAGAACTACACAAATATTTCCCAGAGGCCTTTAATATCAGGCTTAGACTGTCTGGTGTATGGGACTGGTTTGCAGGAAGGACAAGGGGGAAGCTGTATGCACTTTAGGCCAGTAACCGACTAAAACAGGAGAATAGACATGGTTTGGGGCTGGAAGTGACTTTTAATCGTATTCATCTGGACATATGGTTCAGTTGCAGTGAGACCACAAACCGACAGAGAAGATTTGGGCAAAGCAAGGAAACAATGAAGGGGCTTTTCCACCCTACTAGCGCCAGCTTCCTCTCTTTCTGTGATGTGAAGAATCTGTGTGTGTGTCTACCTGTCAGCAGTGAGGTAGGACAAGGAGATTTGGTCTTGTGCCAGATTTCGATAGATGAAAATTTCCTGGTATCATTTATCTCAATGTTATCTTTTTATAGAATCACCGAGATACACAAAAATTCCAACACGGAAGATATTTCTTTGTTTTTCTGACAGGGTACCTTTCCCCCCTGAACTGAGCGGCTCTGAGACACGCTGTGAGAATACACATAATGTTGCCTGCCTCATTTCCCATGCTGCTCTTACACACAAGTTCCATTTATATCAAAATAAATTAAAACTGCTCTTCAATAGCAGATGCTCTGTCGATGTACAACAATGGCAGCTGTGCTCATTTCGGGAACCATCGATTTTAACTCAAGCCACTGCCCGGCACACTCCTGCCCGGCACGGCCTACCCCGGTGATCTCTCTTCTTTTTTCGGGCTGTGGACATCTTGTGGAGTGTTACGGGGGGGGGGGGGGTTACATACATGGGGTAGCAGATATTTTTCATGGCTACCGTATGCACATGCACGGTTCGTTTTCTAAGTGTAACAAATGCTAACAATGCGGACTACAGAGTTGTCCACCGTTTAACCAGTGACACAGATCTAGTCAGGGGCTTTGCTAGGGTATAGAAAATAATAATAATAATACAACCAGTAGGTTGAATTAGCCAGTGGGTATGTGTGTTCACACACACACACACACACACTTTGGAAACCTAGCCAATCTTCTCTCTGTGCTCACGGAATAGCACCATGGCACGGATAAAGGGAGAAGGTGTCTAACACAATCACTCCAGAATGCCTGAAGAATGAGGAGTGTGAACCAGATCAATTTTTTTGTTGTTGTTGTTTCTGAAGGGCAAACAAAAAGCCCTTTTAGTTGCAAACCCTCCTGCCAAGCCTTTCCACAGCACGCGGACCCGTGTTCCGGCCCTGCCTAACGTACTGTAGCATATTGCTATGACAGATTCAGGCTTTCGTGACTGTGGAACTTGAAAGGCCTTGTGGTCGTGGCTCTCGACATCAGTCTTCATTTCAGTAACTCGGGAGGCCCTGAAGGCAGGGGGCTATTTGGGCGAGAGGAAACTGATTGAATCTATCAGTTCTTCAAAGCCAGCGGCAGCCTTCGATTCAGAGAGCTGGCGGGGGTGGGGGTGACAGCTAAGGTGTTTCATGGCCACCAGTCAAGGGGATGACTGGTTCTGAGGTGCCTGTCAGAGTCCTCAGGGAGTCACAGTTAACGAGGTCAGGCAGTAAAGGCACGTGGTGGCAGCTATGTGAACAAGGGCCGGGGCTTCGAGTGTCTGCTCTAGCTCGCCGACTTCCCAAGCCATGCTGAGTACAGAGTCATTCATCAGCAGACGTAAAATGGGGCTCTGCAGTGCACAGTCCCAAGCTCACACGGCTCCCGCTGTGGCGCTTGGACGTGGAACTGAGATCTGCCTCCTCCAGCGCCAGAGACAGAGACAGCCACTCACTTTCTCTTCTGCTTTTGCAGAAGCTCGTGGGGACTCAGCAAACTGTGGCTTCAGAAACGGAAATTGAAAAATCATTTTGTTTGGGAGGCCGGGCCTGGTGAGACTGGCACTGAAATATGGGTGGGATATCTGAGAATATTTGTAGGCAACAGACCCTCCGATGGGCTGGCAATAAACTCTACCAAGGGGCCGCCCCTCGGCCTGTGCCCAAATAAACACCCTGTACAGGCTGTACAACGCGGATGTGTTCTCACAGCTGGGACACATGCAGTCATGAGGCCGCTGGGGCCATGACCTCCGTGCCCTGGGAATGCCCCAGCTCCCATAAGAGACGAGGGGGTAACTGACACGCAGTTATTAACCGTCATCACAGCTAATATTTTAAGATGTCATTTTAGAGCATGTAAGCGATATATGCCGGGGTGTCTTTAGGGCACTCGGACTCTAAATGAACCCATGTCTGCCTATGTATTTTTTTCCCAAGATTTGTTTATTATTTATACAGTATTCTGCCTGCATGTATGCCCACACACCAGAAGAGGGCACCAGATCTCATTATAGAAGGTTGTGAGCCACCATGGGGTTGCTGGTTATTGAACTCAGGACCTCTGGAAGAGCAAGCAGTGCTCTTAACCTCTGAGCCATCTCTCCAGCCCCATGTCTGCCTATGTTCTAAAGCCCTCTTTGGTGATGCTTTTTCTGTCACGTATGAATCGAAAGCATCAGTACTTATCACTCTTAAGTTTCTTTGGATAAAGACTCCAGCAGAAGAGTGACAATGCTAACCTCAGAAAGATGGCCCACTGTGGTGACAATTATGTATCAGGGGGAAAAAATAGCAGCTAAAAGCCGCACTGGAGGCTAGAGAGAGCACTCAGCGGTGAAGGACACCCGCTGATCTTGCAGAAGACCCGAGTTCTGTTCCTAGCACCAACATGGCAGTTCACAACTGTTAGAAACGTCAGTGCTTGTGGGTTCGGCTCCCTCTGCAAGGCCTCACTGGGCACCACGCACTCGTATGGTCCATTCACATGCAGGCAAGACACTCATACCCAGAGAAATAATAAGTGGTCTGCCCTGTGAGCCCCAGGCATACTCACGTTGGTCACCACAGCCAGGATGGCTATTCCTTGCATGATGGGCTGCCACGCACCGATATCCTTGGCTTTTTCTGGTACCATGCGTCTGAACTGAGTTGTCAGCTTCCAGGCGTCCACTCTTATTTCCAGTATATTATTCACCAGAGCCAGCAGGGGAGCCAGTGGAAAAGAGGCCACAAATAAGGTGACGAACCCAAACTGAATAACTGTCAACGGAATGGACACACATCATGGAGGGGAGGACAGATGGTAGGGCAACATATTTTACTCTACTCTTCTGAGGAAAGGGAAAGGCAAACAAATAACCCACCCCAGCAAGAAGACACGCCCACACAATCACAACACAGTGAGACGAGGTAAACCAAACACAGAGATGAAGCCTAAAGAAAGGCGACTAAGTACAACTTAATCCCTTCATGTGCATTCACTCAAAACAAACAACATCGAAACCTGTGTCCCTCAAGCACGGTTGTTCATTCTTCCCGTTAAGATAATATTAAAAGCCGATCCAGGGCTTGGGATTTAAAAAAAGAGCACCGTGGAAGTTGGAAGTTTCTAGTGAGCAAAGGGAAACAGAAGTGTGTGGCTGTGGAGATGATGTTCAGAGACTGTTGGAAGGGTGCACAAGGGAGTGCAGCAAAGCCCTCACAGGCTTCCCCTCCCATCTGCCGCCGGCATACAGCAGCCCCAACCCTTGGTCAGTCTGCATTGGCCACATTTCAAGGTGAAAGTGGTAACCCAGCCTCTTCTCTTTTTCTGAAATATATGTGACCTTAGTCTGAGTAGAGGAAAGGTAAACTGTGTCGTGGAGAGGAAGAAGAATGAGGTAAGACCAGAGACCTAGCCAAGAAACCTCTCTGAGGCCCCTCCCACCATATTAGCGGAACCATAGAAGACATCTCACAGGCGGGAGTGAGCCAAAGACTGGAGATGTCCCCCTCCAACTCCCCCAGGCCTTTGCTCCACTCTGCTTGAGAAGGTCACGGCTTTAGTGAACCTGCTTCTGGTGTGGGAGACCTGGGGAGGCGTTGACACCAGGGAAAGGTAAGCCACATAGGCCAGGAGCTCAGCATCAGGAGCCACACCACGTCTGCACCCCTCTCACTGCCATCTCTGCCATCCCTGCCAGCCTTGGGGCCAGGCAAGTGAGAGACTGCAGAGCCGGTCACACTTGACGGTGGCAAACCAGCCAGTGTCCAGCCCACTGGAAGGACAACTTGAGGTCCCTGTGTTGGAGGATGTGGCATAGCCAGATCCCGATTGGTCAAGAGAGGCCAGAAATAACACAGGTGAGAGACACCATGTTGAATGAGTGAATCGAATGAATGACATGATGTGTATACTCTTAATCAGGTAGACTCAAACTTAGGGATAGACAAATCTAGTTAGTAATTCCATATGACTTTTTAGACACTAAATTTCAAGAGACATCAACAAACAGTTAACATAACTTGCACTGACAAAGTAGATTACTTTGAAAAAGAGTCAAAAGAGGATGTGCCACTGAAAACAAAGCTATGGCGTTCCAGTACCTGTAGACACGGGACTGATCAAACAGGTTTTGAAAAAGAAATGCACACATTCATGGGATTTTGCTGTATGCTAAGCAGGGGGTCCCCGTACTAAACACATTTTTAAATCTCCAGAAAAGCTGGAATGGGGCCAACACCACTTTCACCCCATCAAAGGATTAAGAGCCCCTATTGCTCTGCAATGCCTTCCTTATGGCAGTGGCCACTCACCCCACCCTCCACGCCCCACATCCCACAAGCCCTCACCACTGCATGGAAGCGACTTCCTGGAGCTTCCCCCTCAAAGTGGCTGCACAGTCCAGAAAGCCCTGGGGCACTCTTGCCCTGCTTATTTAGACAGATGGTTTCTGACAGGGCCAATCATCTCCCTCTCCATGGGATGTTTTTTTTTTTTTTTTTCCCTTGACTTGTTTTTACTTAACTTAAAAAGCCAAGTTATATATGAAATAAGAGCCTCTGAAACACTATTACTCACAGGGCCCTGTCCACTTTCCTACAGTTCTAGCAACTATGGGGTTTTAGCTCTGACTTTCCCTCCTGTCTTATGTACCTTTCTTCCATCTTCCAATCCCTGCTGAGCAATGATGTCATTCTTAAAAGCCTTGTCTGCAGAAATGACCCCGCTGGAGTTTTCCACCTGCTTTGCTCCTCTGCTTGGGCTTCATCAACACACTGGCAGTCTCTCACAACCTCCCAGAGGCACCCCTGAGCCACCCATATGGCCTCACCTACAGCTCCCGAGCACCTGACCTGTGCAGCCGCCCTTCCCAGCCCTACGGAGGAACACCAGAGCCATCTCCACACCAGCTCCCCTCCTGGCTCCACCCAGATGTGGATCTCCCAGAAGGTATCTTAGAAATTCTGTTCCTCATTTGCCATCTGGGTCACCCCCTCCCTGCTCATCTGACCTGTCTCCCACTTCTACCGCCGTGTTGACAAGCTCTCTTTAGGCACTCATTACTCATCGAGGTTAACTGATGGAACCTCCTAATTATACTTACTCCTCCCGCTCAACATGGATCCCATCTAAAGGGCTTCCACTCTGCTTCTGAAATAATCTGACCTTCAACAAAACACTGCACAGTTCTCTTGCTTACCAATATTCCTACACCCGCCCCCCATTCTTTCATGGGAACTCCAAACTAGCTACACACACACAGAAGTCATCATATGTCTATCCTTTACCTCATATCCCCATCACTGAGCCTCTGCTTCAGCTATGCTTTGCCCCCTGTAACTCTGGAGCAATCAGAGAGTGGTTCTGCATTTGAAAATGTGTCCTGTTATTCACTAGTCTGTGAGTAATGTCCACTTCCCTTGCCATACTTTTGATACTACCATTTACTTTTCCAAATCATGTTCAAACGCCGCTTGCTTGACCAAGCCTTTGGCTTTGCTTATGCAAACTGCTGTGTGCCCAGCTCCGTGAGCGCATGCCCCAAATCTCAGCTTGGTTATCTCTGGTGAACACTGCAGTGCTGGCACAGTGCTACATCCGACACTGGGTACTGAGCGAAGAGACAGCATTACCCATCGGCCACACTAGACAGCCATTCCTTTAAAGACTAGAAGCAGTCAGTGCTGCTGGTGGACAGGGACGCGACAGAGGCAAAGAGGAGAGCGCAGCGCATCTGGTCAAGTAAGTGCAGAAAAGAATATCAGGAAATCATTGTGATGCTTGGTGGTGTCACCTTGACAGGAGCTGGAATCTCCTGGGAGCTGGGCCTTTGGGCTTGCCTTTCTGGGAGTATCTTGATTCCATTTATTGATGTAGGAAGACCCTGACTGTGGGTAGGGCTAGTCTATGGGCAGGGACTCCTGGGCTGTATAGCATGGTGAAAGCAAGCTAAACATCAGCACAACACACCTTTCTGTGCATCTGTGAATGTGCTTTTAGGCTCCTACTGCCTGGACTTCCCCACTGTGGTGGACTGTGGCACCTTGAACTGTGAGCTTAAAATGAACCTTTCCTCCCTTGAATTGCATTTCTTGGGGTATTTTAACACAGCAACATGAAACGAATGGGAAGAGCCACTTCCGTCCTGACTTTGGACACTTTGCTTAGAGATGGGTCAAATTAACAAGGTGAAAACAGAAAAGGCAGTTCAGAAGTGGCACAGGCAGCCTCACAACATCCCTGTGGTGCCCTTCACTATGGCACCTGCCAGCTATGAAGCTGTCACCACATTCTCAAGGGACCTGTGCCCACTACAGGTAGAACCAAGGTACAAAACAGTACCTTCAGCTGACAAATATCTGTGAGTACTAGGTTCCCGAGCAGCGGCGCTCAGGGCTTGGTAGCTGCCTCCAGCAGGCTGAGTCTGGTAGGGGAAGAGGCATGCATGCCTTTGCACAGGGTTATGGGAGTCAAGGCTGCCTGGCCCTACAAAAGCAGCAAAGCACTGTAAGATGTTTCCTTGGAGCTGTAAAGAAAGGTGCACAGGGGTGTTGCTGGCGAATGCGGGAGAACTGTGAGGGTCACCTCCGAGTTACACCACTCCCAGAGAGACAGTGCTTATATAGGGAGAAAGAAGACAAAAGGTCAAAGGGCACTGAACATTGTATCTTCCAAAGCTTAGCACTAGGCAGATTTCTTTGTGTTGCTGATACACAGTAACACATTGCCTATGCTCAGAAACTCAGGAAGCTCTCCAACTCCGTGAGAATAGTTGGGGTGCCTATAAAGCATTGCAAGAAATCTCAAGGTCTGTCTATAGCAGCCATTATGACAGGAAATATCATGCATATTTTTTGGGGTAGGATGAGACCAAATTAACTAGTTCATAAATATTTAATAGGCCCATGAAATGCTAAAAGTCCGATTTTCTCTCACAAAGCATGGCTATGTAACTTGTTCCTTCATGCCATTCATTTTAAGTAATTAATTGGTGAAAAATAACTTCCTCTGAAATCTTTTTTGTTTTGTTTTTATTTTCTGGGGAGAGGCTCAAGTAAGTAACATTCTATGCCATGGCACTATTATTAATGCTGGCAAGGGCTCTGGGAAAAGATGGTTAGTTACGAAATGCAATCACCTCGCAATCCCTTCCGTACGGATACTGCACCCTTAATAAAACCCAATCCTGATAAAAAGCAAAACCAAATCTGACCCCAGGATGATAGCACAGTGGACTGTTTACTTACCCAGACAGATATTTCTGCATTTTATGCATATTATTAAAAGATATTTTATAAATAGAATGTGATTTAATGACCTACTCACTATCTGCAGTAAACACTGTCCTGGCACAGACACAAACCCCTAGGAATAAACCCAAGGCCTGTCAGATTTTATGCCTGTCAACCTTAAAGGTTAGGTGAAAGGACAGAGATACGAAATATGTAAACGGTTAGCCATCTTTTAGATTTAAGCGTGTCATTCATAATGGAAAGGCTAGTGAGTGTTTCCAAAGGGCATCTGTTCTGAGATGCATCTATTTTAAGGCAACAGAGCTCAAAACTGTGCTCAACCAAAGAAGACAGAGAGCCTGAGCAAGTAATCCAAGACAAGATGCCCAAGAAGGCAGGGCAGGGCCTGTGCCAAATCCTAACTAACTCCAGGCCATCAGAGTAGCTCCTCACTCGTGGTACCACACACAAACCCTGCCCAGAAGAACCAAGAGGCCATCTCAGGCAGGAGCGAGGTGTGAAAGGGGGACAGGGATACTTCCTGTTCTCACAAGCTTGCTCAGTGATTCTGTTCTGGCCAACAGCACAATCTGCAGACTCAAGCCCAAACTGAACGAATTATATCTAAGGACAGTGATAGGCTTCACTCACAGGCAACATGGCCAGCGTGCTTTGAGAGCTCACAGTGAAGTAACACCTCAAGGAAACTTCCGCTTCATCGCATGATAATAAATCCTCAGCTTTAAACAACATGCGTATTAACGAAACCACACACGGCCATCATACTTGAAGGCTTTGCTTTTTCTCTGCTGTGCGATTCTATCCCGGTAGAGAAAAACATACTGCTGTTCATACTAATGAGCTAAATAATCTTGTTGCTCAACAACATGATTTTCGGCTCCAACACATATCCCAACATATTTTACTGAAAACTTACTCATTTCAAGATACTCATAGAACAATCCCAGCTTGCCCATGGGCTGCAGATGGTAATCCTGTTCCCATCGTGGGATTATCTTTTCTGATCCCGAAACTCTTTTATATCGTCCAATTAGATTCATGACCCATCTGCCAGAAAGATCAAATTATAAATTAGAAAGAACACTGTCAGGCCCACTCTGTGAAGTATTGATTGCTGTCTCAAAGCTGCGCATGTAATCCTCCCAAGAAATCAGTTTCTCTTTTGCATGTTAAACATGTTTTTCCAATTTCTCCCCCCCCCAATCATTCCAAACATTTTTTTTTTTTTCAGTATGAAAATTATCAGTGAAAATAAAGCAAAAGGAAGGGTGTAACGTAAGCTGCCGTTAGCCGCTGTAGGTAAGTTCTATTTGTAACAGTGCAGGGAGAACCAGGGATGGTCACCTTGAGGTACTAATGTGAGCCTCTGAAAGGAGGCAGAGCACCGGCAAGGACCTCCAGGCTGGGGGAACCAGTGACTACAGACAGCTGGAGGCGGGATCAGAGCTGCCTTTGGCAGCACAACAAAGACACTCTTGTGGACCCGGAAAGTAGGAAGTGAGGCCAGTGAGCTGGGGTGGATTCCACCAGACGAGTGGGAGGATCTGGGTGTTCTTAACCAAGGGAAGTGAGGGGCTACTGCAGAAGACTAAGCACAGAAATGACAGGACAGGTCTCTGCCTTAAACCAGACAACTTCAGGACAGCAGAAGGGATGCGCGCTCTAAAGATCAGCGTGCACAGCCAGCCCTGCCCTGCGCGCCACTGCACATGGCTCCCACCCAGCGATCTGTTTTCTCCTTTTGAGCATCATGCTTCCCTTCCTGTGTCCATGATAAACGCTACCCCACCCTTTTCATGGCCATCTGCCTTGAAAACAGAACTGGCCATGCACCTGTGACAAACTCCACCTCCTCGAGTGACAAGCTGGCTTCAAGTTCACACATAGCATCCATCTCTTACGCTCTGGTCGCTCAGACAATAGGTCTGTGTGCATCTGAAAGTCTGACAGGACTGTAAAGGCACATGCTACAAGAAAATGGGTGTACAGGCCCTCACCTGGTCCTTGAGCGCACCAAGTATTTAAAATGCAAGGCAACAAGAGTTGACTCAATGTGCTGGCCTTCCTCTTGCTGGTGCTCCCCTGCCAGCCTCCCCTGACCACTAGGGAGGCCTTATAAGGGCAGACATTCTTCATAGAACATGGCCCTGGCTTCCCTATCTCTTGTCCTTCCTCAGTAGGAGGAACTCAAGCTCGGACGCCCCCAAACCAAACCCACACTCCTGCTTTTTAGACACTTTACTTTGGTGAAGTTAAAGTGTGCTGATGAGATGCATACTGGCCAAGGCCGATGTCAGGGCTAATGGAAGTCAAGACAGCTGAAAGGGGCCAGCACGCTTACACACACACACACACACACACACACACACACACACACACAGGAGTTCCTGCTGACCAATACAGGCTAACAAGCAGGGGCCACTGAAAATGGAGCTATGATCTTGGAATCTCGGCTTGGAGACACCAAGGCCATGTGGATTGATACTTCCTGCTTCAAGGTGTCGACTGTGGACAACAGCGCCTCCTCCATGTCAACCCAAAGATCTGAGGATGCCCCCCAAAACTGCAGTGCTTCTGCCATTCCAAGGGCTCTTAACATAAGTGGTACCCAAGGGCCCCTCACAAGCCCTCATGACGCCACACCCTGATAAATCTGGGCTTGCTCTCTCTCCGTTTACTTTTCCTTTTCTCTGCCTCCCACTCCCAGCCTTGTCTGAACAGGGTCCATGCCCCAGACAAAGGAGTCATTTCTCTTCTGGGGTTTCTAATCCGTCTTCGGTACTGTGTACCCCTGACTCAGCAGATGCTTCCTCTCCAGCCATGCCGCCTGCCCACACTGTGGACCACAGCGACAACTCTCTGCCTGGAGTTATGAGCTATACACTGCAAGTCTCTCCTTCCATTTTCCTGTGTTGAATTACTCATCTGTAACAGAAATCCATCTCCTCCCCGAGTCTTCTGAAAAACATTTTTTTTTTTGAAAAAACAAAAAATGCCAACAAACTGGGCTGTGATTCTGGCGTCAGATCCCACCCTTGACTACATGTGAGAATTACACCATAGAACTTGGAGGGGAAATGCACCAGATCCTTTCCCTCCCTGGCTAAGACTAGGAGCAGAATCACAAAGCCATTGCTGTACAAATTTACTGTAACACTGACAAAACGGGAGGCAATACTTTATATCTCAATTTCTCTTGGCCTCTTAGGAAACTAGAGCGAGACACCGTTTCCATTCACAAGCACCACCACTTCCTGGCTAGTTCACACCTGAGTTCACTCTTCCCATGAAGGGCAGGTGTAGCTACTGAGCCTTGTCCACAGTGATTTTCTACCACAGCTTCTCTCGTCCGTATGTGCATCGTTATTTTGAAGAGACAAAAGATACACAGGAGGAAAAAATGTCAGAGCATCGTTATTTTGAAAAGGTAAAAGATACACAGAGGAGGAAAAATTTCACGGTCCTCCTCTGGCTGAATACCCAGGGACACTGATGTTCTAGATGTTTTAGGAGTCTCAATTTTTAAAAAATATTAACACCGTCTTATTTGAATAAGAAAGAAAACCCTAGTGGGGCGGGGGTGGTGCACACCTTTGATCCCAGCACTTGAGAGGCAGAGGCAGGCAGATCTCTTGTGAGTTTGAGGCCAGCGTGGTCTACAGAGTGAGTTCCATGACAGCCAGGGCTACACAGAGCAACCCTGTCTTGAACAAACAAACAAAGAAAAATCCCCAGAATTCTTTGGATGTCAGTGCTGGGATGACCAGAGAGCTGACATTCTCTGGTTCTAGCAAAACACTCAACACGCAACACTCACGAGCTCATGTCAGTGCCTGCTCTGTACCTGGGACCAGTCTAGGTGTGGGCTGAGCTTGCTCTAGAAATCTGCGCTGAATGAAGGATGTGGACCTGAAATGGCCAAGTCTAAGAAAGTCTCGTCAATTGTCTTCACTGTGTTCCACTGACATCTCAAGCTCATAGGGAAGCAGCTGAGATGGCTCTTCCCTCTGACACCCTTCCGAGGAGTGAGGGTCTGGGAAGCAGGGGTAGTGCTCTCACCATGGTCCTGGGTTCTGAGGGGAAGTAAGGGACTGGCCCCTGCACAGCAGCAGCCCCAGGGACACTGTTCTGACTGACACTTGGCATTCTCCGGTTTCAAGCCAGGGGAAGAGAATGAAAAACATATGACGCCGGTATCTTCAAACAGAGTGGAACTCCGTGATTGTTAGCAATAAGCTTACTTGAATCTACAATTCAAGTAGAATTGGCTACTCCGAATTAATTTAGGAAATACACCCCACCCACTAACTTTTAAAATTCAGAAAGCAGCTCACTGCCAAGCAGTTACTTATCAAAAAAATTTAGTGGTAAATAATCTAGTTGGCTCAGAAAATGCTGTTTTAGTAGTCTAAGAATGAGTTAAGCTTTTTTTTTTTTTTTTAAAATACATTTTCATATTGAAACAGCATGATTTGCCCATGACCTACTTTTACTTATCTGGAAAAACAGGAATATGAACGCGATGAAAGGAAGGGTTGTTTTCTGTGCGGCAGGATTAAAGTTATCTCACAGCTAAAGCTGGAATCCTTTCCTGGGACAGGAGTGTTGTCTTTGCTCTGAGCAGGGCCTTGACAGCTCACACTGGAGAGGGAGGAAAAGGCCCCAGTGAAGAATGCGGGCACACTGAAACCAAATTGCAATGGAAAGCTTTTCTACCCAGCATCCCATTTGTAGGACATGCCGATGGTGCTGACTCCACAGGAGGGCCCTCGTTAACGATGTGGGGACCACTGCATCCTGCCGCTGCCCTCGTTTCTTAGGGAAGCCATTCAACATCCATGTGGCGACTGTTTCTATGTCTCAGGGATCACAGGAGAGGCCTGTTCTTGACAACACTGGGTCTGGAGTCACGGGCTCCTGGAGGTAAATCCCATGGTAACCTCTCACTGCCAGTGTGATCCTGGGTAAACCCTACAACCTCTTTAAGCCACAGATCTTGATTGGCGAAAGGAAGATTAAAGTAAGATTTATGAAATTAGGCTATAGGAGCATGTGCAGGCACACGTAAGCATGTATATATGAAAAGAGACAGCATTTGGTGCAAACACTGGCACATGCTACATCGCTATTATTATTCATGACTTCCGGATGCGTGAGGGTGAGGATGCTACGCGAACCTGTGGCAGTCTGTAGTTCACAGCTCTAACAAGGGCCCTTCCTCAAAGACCTCTGTGTTGCCAGCCATCAGTGATGGCCTAAGAGGCCTACACTACAGTGGGCGAAATTTCTGTTAACTATGAGGGTGAAGGTCTCATGTAGATACTTCGTGTGTGCATGTGTGTGTTCACGTGTGCGTGGGAGCATGTGAAGTTCAGGGCTTGACATCTTCATCCAGCTTTCTGGGGCATGGCCAGTCATTGAGCCCGGAGCTCCCCCGTTCAGCTCTGCTCACTAGCTGGCCTGTGAGACCCAGGGATCCCCTTGTTTCTAGCTCCTCGGCACTGGGTTACAGGTGTGCATGACAGTGCCTGGCTCTTTACATGGGTACTGGCGGTCCCAACTTTGGGCCTGCATGCTTACACGTTACAACCGAGCCATCGGCTGAGGCCCCGCGAGTGTAACTATTAAAACACATACAAACTACTGGTTGGACCTCTTTCCCAGAGGCCTTTACTTCCAGTGGATGCTAGTCCACCTCAGAGACAGACGTATGGCCGTGTGGGGTAGCCTCCTTCAGTGGGCAGGCTGACCTGTCCCCCGCCCTGACACCCAGGCCCACCACTCACGGGAGCAGTACTTCTTGTATGTTATTCCAGATGGCCTTTCCTCCCATGATGATTGTCAGCTGTGTCGTCAGTTCGAGGAGACAGCCTCCTGGGTCACACTGGCAAGTTATAAAGAGAACAGCGTTTAGATTCCAGGCGTGTAACCTTCAAAGACATATTACATTAGCATCTCTGTTTGTTCTCCTGGGCTAAAAATAGCTCGGAAAGGCACAAGAAAGTCACTATTCATTAGGCAGCAGAGAGAAGGCAAGCAGCAGCAGCTTCGGCTGTGGAGAGAGTTAGCACGATCCTGGTTTCGCACCTCTTCATTTCTGTACTTTCCCAGCCAATACACCGGGTCTCCCGGATAGCCCACAAATTTGCCCTTAAAGAACGCGATGTAGAAGCAGGACGAGTAGTAGTTGACGAACTGGAACAAGAACATCTTCATGGTGAGGCTGTTCTCGTAATCGGTCTGCGTCCTCGGGAGTTCTGTGGGGAAAACAGCAACAAGGAAGATGCTGAAATCCAACAGCTTTGAGACCCTAACCAAAGACTCTGATGCCCAAGGTAACACGCCATAGAGAATACAATTCACACCATTTTCGATTTAATCTGCTTTCCGTTCCTTAATACAGCCATTGTGCTAATTCTGAGTTTACACACTGTTATGAGTTCTTTTCCCAAATAAACACAATATCCTCCATGGAAAACACCACCACATGTGCACGCATGCACACACACACACACACACACACACACACACACACACACACACACTTTTTCTTAAAAATTGTAAATGCTTTAACAAGAACTGCTTTGGTCTAAAACCCCACAGTTATTTTTGTTGTGGTACTAGAAACCCGGGACCTCTGCCACTGAGCCACATGCCCAACCCCTCAGAAAATTAGCTCTGAACAGCCTGGTAAAAGACTGCTCTTTTGTCTTCCAGAATTGTAAGATCTGCTGGAAACCATAAAACAGAAGCAGTTGGCTGGAGGCATCTGGGAAGCACAAAGGTTTGTCCTCCTCGCTACGAATCTCAGCCCATCTGACCATCATCCTGAGAGTGATCCAAGCTCACGCAGGGTATGGGAAGGCCCTAACTGTAGTTCCCTAAGACTGTTAGCCTACAGGGATGAAAATGGCCAGATGGCTTCCCTAGGCAGAGCCTCACCGAAGTTGGTGATCATGATGGCCACCTTCTCGTAGATGGTGTTCAGGATCATGATGATGATGAAGCTGATGATGGAGGCCGTGATGGAGGTGGCCATCTGCGGAGTCAGGTACTTCTGGATCGGGTCTGTGCCGTTGGGGTTCTTGGGGAGGGTGGCGGAAAACACGATGAACACCGAGAGCCTGTAGACGATGATGCCGATCACAGACGCGATGATGAGCAGGATCTGGAACCACCAGCAAAGGCAGCATGAGCCTCGGCAGGACGCAGGCTGGCCCCGGCCCCGGCCCCGGGCTCAGAGCAAGAATGGGCAGGTGCCAGATGCAGGAACTCTCCCAAAAGTGCCAGGAAAGGGTTGGAAAAATGGGGCAGAGTGGGAAGGAACACAGTTGCCCAAAGGGGAGCACCCACCATAGTGGGACCCCCCCCCCACAGGGGTCACAAATCAGACATCCTAGAGGTAAGATATGTTCATTATGATTCATAACAGTAGCAAAATTACAGTTAGGACGTAGCAACGAAAATAATACAGCATGAGAAACTGTCTGAAAGGGTCGCATCGTCAGGAAGGGCGGGAGCCACGGCTTTAGACCCTGTCGGAGAAGCTCTTTAGACTGTTCTCCCTATGTCTTCTTTCTCGGATATACTTTAGAACCATGGACTCTGGCTGCTCATGTGATGAGAGCCGGGGAAAAGCTACAGAGAACAAGAACTCAAGCACCAAGCCAGGCACCCCCCATGTGCAGAGCCACACAGAGGGAGGAGCTTCAGCCTCCTGCATGTGAACCTCAGCTCAGCCACTGGCTGTGGAACCTGGGACAGGCTCCCTTTCCTCATGCGATGGGCCGGATACCACAGGGAGAGCGCTACGCCTAGGCCTAGGAAATACTAGGTAGTATCAGCGATGGTGAGGGTGACCAAGTGTTAAAAAGACATTTTCTTACTTGCTGTGCAATCTGCATATAGGGAAGGTATTGTGTTTCTCCATATTCTCGCTCATTATCTCCTCTCCTTCACAGTTAAGTCTTGTGAAATGAGAAGGAGTGTGTGTGTGCGCATGTGTGTATGTAAATTAGCTTAAGGCTGAGAAAAAAAGTGGAAAAACGCAGCGTCTTCCTCCCTCTGCATAATACAAACAGGCCATTTAAATCTTTCTAGTAATCACCCCACAATCACTTTTATAATCACTCATCACAAGAACACCATTTGAGTGTGCTCACTGCCAACCTCAACACTCTCTCACTGCTGAGTTCCCCTAAGTAGTAGGCAGTGTTAGAAGGAAGAAATACAGGCTAAAAGAGAGAGAGAAAAAAAAGTCCTAGATTAAGTTGACAGAAGGGAAAAGTATGGGAGCCACACTGAGTCAGACACAGACCTCAGCAGCTCTGCTGCCCAATGGGCCTGCGCTGCCCTTGGCTTAGGTACCAGTTTCCGGTACCTGCCAGAGCTGTCACCAACCTGCAATGCCCCCACAGCTTTCCAGGCCGTGGGATTTGCTCGGTCTTCGCAGAGCAGGGTACATTCTCCCTTCAGGTTGGTCTTTTCCTGACTCTAACATACTTCAGATCAAACTGGAGTATGTGCTCACTGTAGAGAACTTGAAAAGCGCTCCACAGTGGGCAGACATGCCCCTCCGCCTCGAGGAGAAAAGCTGAGCTATGCTCTGCAGGGTCAGTCTGAAACTCAGCGGATGTTACTCAGGCTGCAGTCACCAGCCCTCACCCAGTCCTACCCCAGACCTGGAGTTCATTTTCCCCTATTTCGCTATCATATACACCAAAGGGAAATTGGCTTTATCACCTACAATTTGAAAAAAAAAAAACAAACCTTTTAATTATGAAAAAGTAATAGAAAAATAGGTACGATTGCTCACTACTAAAATAAAAGCAAAAATTATCTCAGAACTGTGCCTGATCTGCCAGTTTTTGTATCTTCATCTTTCCCTTTAACTCATCATAAACCTTAGGAGTTTCCCGCATCATGGAATATTTCATGAACATACTTTTGCAAGACGTACAACATTCCATCGTCTGGCTAAGGTTGAGGTGGAACTTTTTTTTTTTTTTTGCTCTCTGTTCATGTATTTATAGGCCTATGTGTGTGCATGTGTGTTATAAAATGTGATAATGTCTGTGAAAAAAAAATCTTCCCTTTCCACAACACCTATTCCTTTAATGACAAGATCTTCCTGTGTGGCCCAACCTGACTTCAAACTAACCATCCTGCCTTGGCTCAGTGAATTTGGGGATCCCAGATCGGGGAGGGCAACCTCTCTGGACTTTGACATAGTCCTTAATGAGCAGTTTCTAAAAGCTGAATGAAGATAAACCTTTCTGTGCGTAACTTAACATACAGTGTCAACCGGATTTCTAGGGCAGAGGAGAAACAAAATCGCCTGCCCTGTGGGAGGGGCTGATGCTGCAGCCGTCACCTCAGCATGGTGCCCCCAAGAGGCAGAAAGTAGAATCTCATCATAACCTGCCCCGGCCTTCCCACTGGGGCCACTGTGTTTTTCTTGGCTTGTGACTAGGTCACCCGCTGTCACCAGCTGCTGAGCTCTTGCAGCTGTCTCCCGGCTGACCAGGCCTCCGGGATCGGGATCGGTCCTTCGCATTGCTCTGTATTCTTCTGGTGTTTTGTTTAAGTTCAGAATGTCAAAAATCTTTATGTTTCTCTGAAATGCCTTCCACTTCTAGTGGGGTCTAGAAAGTCATTTTAGACCTACAGGCTGTACATTGACTCACATTTATTTCTACTTTATGGCTTACAGTTTTAAAATAAAGTACTCTGGAACTTATCACAGCATGTGGTTCAAAGAACGGCCCTGACCTTTTTTCCCCCAAGAGCTAGCAAGCATTCCCACTGTTCAACAGTTTTCTTTGGATCTAAAATCCTTCCTTTCTTATGCATTAAATCACCACACCAGAGCCTGGATGGATCTGGCTGTCAAGTCCCATTCTTTAATCTGTTTATTCCTAAGCCAAACAAAGCTCTCCTTAAATTGTATTACTGATATCTTTTAATTAATAGTAGACCAGAGCTATTTTGTGAAGTCTGACATTTTTAGCAATGCTTTTGTTTTTCCATCTAAAATCAGTCTTAAAACTTCCTTTTCTTTCTTTAATTTTTAACGCCTTCTTTTTCGGCATACCTCTTTGTTACTGAAATTCCTAAAAAATTCCTAAAATTTTTAGCTTTAGCTGTTGCTATCACAGTTTTTTGTTTTTTGTTTTTTGTTTTTTTTTTTTTTGAGTTCTTACTGCCTCCCACTGGGTTTCTTCAGTAGCAGCTGGAAACTCCTGACCAGGTGAGCTGATAGCAGGAAACAAGGTGGAAGGGACAGAGGAGCCTCAAGACAATGGAAAGGAAGGTGCCCTGACCTGGCGATACTCCATGTAGCAGCCAGGGAGCGCTCAGGAGCCATCTCAGGTACCAGAGAGGAACCAGCCACACCTGGCTTGCACTACCCTTGAAATTTTACTGGAGACGCTAAAAAAAATTGTCAGGTGATGAAACAAATTGAGCAATCAGTCAAACATAAGCTCGTGACGGCGTCTTACCCAGAAGAAGACAGCACTGGCACACAGGGTGACCCGGATGCACTTCCCACAGGTGGTGAACGGGATTCGCTCCTCCTCCTGGGGAACAAAAACAGTCGGTTAAGCGGGCGACGCCAATAGAGCTGTTGATACCTCTGGAGGGGTCAACAGATCCGGGACTCACAAACAGGCAAAACCCGAGTTTTCAAGCACACCGTTCTCACTTATAACTGTGTGGTTAATACTCTCAAGCAGCCCAAGTGCGGCAGCTGTTTGTTTGTTTTGGTGTTGGCGATTAAACACAGGGCCCTGTACTCACTTGGCAAATGCCTTCAGCTATCAGATCTGTGGTTTTGGGCCAAGCTTTTTATAGTGACATGGTATAATGACACATTGTTTTTGGATAGTTTCCACCTTAAAGTTTATCAAGAGAGGAAAACAAGGCTCCTCCTGATTTCCCTGGAAGAGCAGCCAGGGTGAATCTTAGCTGTATTCACCCCACGCCAGGTACTTTCCTATGTGAGTTTTATCCACAAACTCCATCAATCCTCATTACACTAACACCGACATTCTATCACTTCCATTTTAGAGATGAGCAAACTGAGGCACATAAGCTGCTGTGTTCGGAACTGAACGAAACCCCTGCAGCGTCAGCAATACGACTCTCCTCTCTAACCTAGGGAGGATGCGTGAGGCAGCAAAGGTGGAGCGAGGAATACGGAAAAGGAGATTTTGCTTGGAAGTTTTAGTGAGCCGCATTTCACTGGGGATTTTATCCATCAGTTCACAATTTTAAATGGTCAGACCATCTCTGCCTTAGTACTCTGTAAGGTTTGTCATTCTGTGAGTTTCATACCGTGAAGACTCGGAAATCAGCTGTTGGGGGCTTGGGGGTACAGGGAGACGCGCAGTGCTATTTCTCATTGCGGCAGAGGCTGCAGCAAACCTAGTCTTCCAGTGACAAACAGCTCACACGGTGCTGGCACTCAGTAGTATCTCAATGTGCATCCCCCCCCAACTCCTTCTGACTTTAGGATAAGAGCCACAGTGATTCTGAGCATACCCCATCTAGAAGGCGCACCAGTGGCCGCCGGCTCAGAGGGACAGTGAGCTCAGGAAGAAAATTCACTGCAATGAAGCTGCCTGCAATGCTCGCGATCCATCCGTAAACGCCAACGCAGCTCCCCTTCAACTGTGCCATTCCTGCTCTCTCTAAAGCATATGCATTTTGCTGTGACTGTAAGGGAGTGGCCACAATTGTCTTCCACATCTGCTGTCCTAAGCAGAGCCCACAACTCATCTGGGATACCAGAGCCTCACTGATGCCATAATGGACCAGGGACTCTGCCCTGATCAAGAACCACGATGGCTTGGTGGGTCACTTCAGAGAATGCACTGCATCACCTGGCTGAGAACCCGCAGGGAGAGCCCTGCGCTGCATCTCTTTCCTGTGAATCTGGAAGGGAGACATCGCTCTGCGGCAGAGCAGACACACACCTGAGTGATCTCGTTGATTACCACGTGATTGCACTGGGCTTCGTACTCCGGCCGGGGCTGTTCCTCCTGCTGTAGCTCAACAGTGTCCCATTCATACTCGAGCTCTGCCTGGCGCCGCTTCCAGAACTCCAGAAACAACGTGACTGATGAGAGAGAAGAGGCCAGTGTGGCTCTTTAAGGCTGGCGTCAGAACTCCATGCTGGGAGTTAGCCCTCCTACTCTCTTGTGGTGAGCACAACCTCTTCATAGGTGATGGTGACAGTCAAAAGGCAGAAAATGTTTTTTTATTTAAATAAAAATGCTGGTAATTTGCAAACACCGTGAAACATGACAGTGTGAGAGGGGCGATGGGAGGGTCAGAAGGCAACTGTGCATGTCAGACACAAAGCTTGCTACCCCACGCCTCACCCACCGAACACACAAGTGAATTCACTGCTAAGAGCAGTTCACCGTTCAGCCTTTCTCTCCGTCCTCCTCGCTCTTCTGTATCCTCCCTCTGGGTCGGTATAGAAACGGGGGCAATACATCAGTGCCCACTAAATAAGCTAAAACAACATTTTTATATGAAAAACTCATCTTTCTCAATTTTATACAAATGTGAAAAAATCAGGTGTCACTATTTTTCATAATCTGTAACTCAAAAAAAAAGCTAAAAAAAAAAAATGTTAAATGTTAATTGAAGACACAGCGTCCAGGTCCAGATCCAGAGTCCCTAGGCTCTTTTAATTAGTCCATTGTCTCTAACCCGCCTTATATAAAAGTTCTGACGTTATCACGCTTCCATTCATAATTACTGTTCCAGTGTCCACTGGATGCTCAGAGCAAGAAGGGCTCCTAGATGCATGGGAATGACAGGCACCACAGACAGAGGAGGAACAGACTCCTAGACGCATGGGAATGACAGGCTCCACAGACAGAGGAGGAACAGACTGGAGACAGCTAACGGATAACCGTTCTCAACCTGTGGGTCGCCTATCAGATATCCTGCATATCAGATACTTACATTACAATTACAACAGCAGCAGAATTACAGTTCTGAAGTGGCCATGAAACGGTTTTATGGTGGGGGTCGCCACAGCATGAGGAACTGTATTAACGTGTCTCAGAGTTAGGAAGGTTGAGAACACCGTACCAGATGCCTCGGGGACAGACTTGGGGACCACGTCTTGCTTTGTGTCTTGTGATGACTGGCATGATCAGGTGAGGTGGGAAAGGGACAGGTGAAGAAAAATCTAGCTTCCTCGGGGAGCTGCCCAGGAAACCTGAAGGAGGCCAGAGCACCAGGGGCTTTCCATTCTGGCTGTGACTAAAGATTAGGACGGCCAAATGACAGCGGCAGGAAGGCCTGTTATAAAGAATGTTACGCCCCTTGAGAGGAGCTGGGAGTTCAAAGGTTGGGAGGGGCAGCAAAGGTGGGCTAGTGTGGACACAGTGCAAGGAGACCTGCGGGCAAGCTGCGGATAAGACAGCATTGTGAAGAATGTTGAAGTGGACAAAATGGATGCAAGGTGTAATGAAGGGGCTAGCAGAGGTCAAGGATATAGGCCAGGTTTGTGGTGTGAGCAGTGTCTGTCCTTGATCCTAGCGTAGTCGCGGAGCATACCACAGAGGGAAGACACTCTGTCAGTGTGGTGCTTTGAATGAGAATGACCTCCCCAAGCTCATATAGTTGAGTACTTGGTCCCTAGTTGTTGGAACTATTTGAGAAGGATTAGGAGGTGTGGCCTTGTTAGAGGAGGCATGCCACCAGCACAAGCTTTGGGGTTTCAAAAGAAGCCCATTCCTAGGTCTCTCCTCTGTCTGTCTGTCTCTCTCTCTCCTTCCTACTTTGGGCTCAGGCTGTGAATACACAGCTCCTCCTCCAGCCAACATGCCCAATGCTGCTGTCACGATGCCTCACCGTGACAGACTTCAGCCTTCTGAAACAGCGAACACCATTAAATACTTTCTTTTATTAGTTGCCTTAATCATGGTGCTTTATCAAGTCAATAGAAAAGCAACTAAGACAATTAGTGATAATAGGTGTCTGTGGGCAGCTGCTGAGTCTAGAGCACTGGGAAGAACCGGTCAAGTCAGAGTCCTCAGCGTCTATAGTGCCAGCTGGGGCTTGACAGGGAGTGGACGAGATCACCGAGCAGGGTGTCTACAGCGGTAGGCCTCACCTGAGCTGCACAGAAGAGGCAATGTGGGGAGCTTGAAACAGCCCTGAGCACAGGCACCAGCCCTGACAGTCTTTCTGTTTTGATAGGTCTGACATGAGGACTGCTGCCTGAACACTTGGAGTTTGTTGATTTTGTTTTCCTTGTCAAGGTTCCAATTGTCCTGCAGAGCCTGGTGGGAAGCCTGAAGCTAGGAGGAAAGGCTGGGATAGAGGAGAAGGACATGAACTCAACACCATCCCAGGGTGAAGACCAATGAAATGCCCAAGAATCCACCCCCAGCCTTGCTAGTGCTGACTACTTCCTCAACAGTCAGTTGGGGCAGAAACTGCCTGGGGGTTGGAATCATTTCCCATAGAGGGCAGGATGCTGGCTCCACGGAGCAGCATTCAGGCCCTCAGTGTCCTTGATCTAGCCCAAGGGGAGATGAGGTCACTGGGTAAAATCCTTCAGGGCACCAGGCAGCTGTGTGGAGCAAGCTCTGACTGCCGGTCTTGCAACCCCCGGAGCTATGCTAGATTCACGTGGCAGGCACTTCCTGAGACCCAGCTGGAGAGTTTGTCCTCTTAGGCAGACCTCAGGACTAAGGTCCCTCGGTGAGCACCCACACGGCGCACCATGCAGAAGGCCCACTTCAGTTACTCCAGTTCTGCCAAGAACGCCCCACCCCTGAAGTTCCCTCTGCTCTGAATCGTAGCCATGACATCATTCCAGTGAAGTGTACACTCTCTTACAGAAAGCGCTGGACCTCCCCTGTCCACGCGTGTAGCACGCATGTGAGCGAGCCTGACCTACATGTGCTTCTAGGCTTACTGTCTGCCATGCCCACATGTCACTGCTGTGAGGACAGGGGCGTTTTGTTCACGGGTTGACAATTGCGACTTGACAAACGAAGGCACCGACCGAGTGAATAAACGGAAGGAAACATGACAGAATCTGGGTGTCCCCAACTCCGGCTTGAGGAACTAGTCTTCTCAGAGTTCCCAGTTAACACCTCCTCACCTGTTCGATTGGCACCCCGCCACTCTCTGTTACGCCAGTTGACCTGGGTCAATGCTTTGTTTCATTGAGTCTCGGTTTTCGTTTTCAAACTCACTAAATTCTACCCTCATTTAAATTATTTCTTTCTGCCTACTGATTCTGGGCTTCTTCCCCTCCCCCCCCCCCCAAAGCTCCAAGATACCTTAAATGACTTATTTGTAGCCTCTCTTATGCTTTAATATGTATTTGAAAGTACAAACTTCCTTACAACTGTTTTCATTGTACCACAGAGATTTTCATGGGTTGTGTTTTTGATTGTCATTTGAGTCTAGGAACTTCTTTGAGTGGTTCCTCGATTTCTTCAACGACCCCTCCATTTACCATTCAACAGTGTGTTGCTTGATCTTCAAGGATTTTTCTTTTCTGTTTTTAAAGTTATTTTCATTCTTTTTAAAACTATGCATGTAAGTGCCTATGGAGGCCAGAGATGCTGGAGCCTCTAGAGCTGAAGTTGCAAGTAGTTGTGCGTGGCCTAGCTGTGTGCATAGTTTCTCTGCAAGGGCAGTAACTTGACTAGTGAACCACCTCCCCAGCCCACATCTGTTCTACAGTTATCTCAGTCTTCTATCTCGGAGACCTGCTTTGTGTCCGAGTATATGATCTGTTTTGGAGAAAGTTCCAGAGGCTGCTGAGTTCCATTTCTTTGGTGTTTGGATGTAGCTCTTTGTTACAGTCCATTTGGCCACTTAACTCAAGACACTTCTTTGTGGAACTGATACTTTCTAACCCTCTACACAGGACATAAACACATTGACATATAATTAAGTCAGTGAACTCAAGTATTTCTGCCTCTTCCTAAAAACATTGTTGCAAACTTGTTAAGGTGCATTTTTGTTGTCACTTTGTTTCTGAGACAAAACAAAAACAAAAACAAAACAGCAAATGTAGCCCTGGCTCTCCTGAAACTATGTAGACCAGGTTGGCCTGGACCTCACAGATCTGCCTTCCAGGTATTGGGATTAAAGGTGTGGGCCAGCATGCCTGGCTTATACTGTATTTGTCACCGATTGAAGGCTGAGAAAAGCCAAGCTTTCTGCACAGCTCTTATTTTGTGGTTTGTTAATTTTTGTGGCCAGGTGGCTACTTTTAAAATCAAAGAAGTACACAGAATCTATGAGGCCAGTCTCTCAGTACAAGAGGATTCATGAGAATAACTTTTCTCTCAAAAAGCAACATCAACAATTCCAATCCACACGTAAACAGGGAAGAGTGGCTACCTCCCCCAGCTCTCTGAAATGGAGGGTCAAAAGTGGTTTACTTCTTGTGCGGTTCAGCCCTGGAAGGGACCAGATGTGAAGTGAGCAAGTGGCTAGGTGGAAAACACAGGGTTCTTAGTGGACCCCCACCTGGAAGGCAAACCACAAGAATGGAGAGGGAGGTCTTCATTTTCATTCACAGCCAAGAACTCTATGTTTTGGAGTACTCCTGGGAGCTATCAGTGTCACTCATATGCAGTGTGTCCAAGAGCTGGGAGAAATTGCTGTTCTGTATCTTTTGCTCTGTGTCTCTGCAATATAACAAGGTGCGCTCTGCTGGCTAGCACTGTACCTCAGTACCAAGGCAAGCCGCACACCACACTCCCGTGCTTCTCAACTTGCTGGCCGCAGCCCCTTTGGGGGTTGAACGACCCTTTCATAGGGGTTTCATATCAGATACTCTGCATATCAGGTATTAACATTAAAATTCATAACAGTATTTACATTACGATTCATAACAGTAGCGAGATTACAGTTATGAAGTTGCAATGAACTAATTTTATGGTTGGGGGGTCACCACAACATGAGGAACTGTATTAAAGGATCACAGCATTAGGAAGGTTGAGAACCGCTGCTCTGCTCAATTAGACACAGTTAAAACTCTCCCAGTACCCACCAGCATAAGAGATGAGGGAGGGTTGCATGGATCTCAAAATAAAAAACGACTTCTCTTAATTATGATAGCATTGCATCTAAAGACCATATATATCAGATGGAGATACCCAAACACAAAAAATTGTCCAGAGAAGTATAGTCTTAGGTTCTATAACAAAGGACAAGACAAACTCTGATAGGCAGATGATGTATTCGGATGCTGTGTGAGTCAGAGGCATCTTAAAAGGCCTCTAACTCTCTGACGTCCTTCTATAAGGTAAATGAGCTTTTCACCCCAGGTCATCTTTCTCACCCACCTTTCTAAGATTCTCTTGCAGCTGGGGTACTAGAAATGATGTTTTAAGTGCTCACTAGGTGTGTCTGTGTGTCGTTGAGATAGAGACGAAAGAGGAAGCAGCAGGAACAGCTCAGGCCTGGGAACAGCATGTGCAGCCAGTTCCTTGGCCCCCAAGTGCAGGCCTCTGAGCTTTCTCGTTCTGGGGCTCCTGAGGGGCCGAGAAGCTGTTGGTTTCCCAGGAATTGCTCAGGTTTGTTTAAAACTTGCCCTTAAAGGTGATCATTGAAAAATGGTACTGCACAACACCTGTCTAAGGCAGGGAGAGTCGGCTAAGGAGCAGTGGGGGAGGTTGGGATACGTTCAGGGCCTTTGTTTTAACCACAGCTGGTGCTCAGGGCCCAAGGAGTCCTCAAGATCTCTCAGGCTGGTGCAGCCTGAATGGGTGTGCACTTGCTTCTAGTTAAGTATATGATTAGTACTATACTGGCTATAAAAGTTCTTCTAGCCTCAGTGTTTACCAATGCTAGAAAACAGAGAAATAGCGCCAGATACACTATGCTGAAGGAGATGCCACAGGAATGGAATGACTTCAGAGCCTCCCACCGCCTCGGTCCTGCCATTTCAGTCTTTCTGTAATGAGGTTCACAGCAGTAGTCCTCAGAAGCAGAAACAGCAAGGAAACCAGCTGTAAAGCCCATACATATCCTGAAAGATGTACACATAATGTTACAAGCAAAGCAGAGATGCCTTCTGCATCCTAACATCAGACAGGATCGATTGGCAGCCTGGGTGCAGTTAATGATCAGAGAAAGGAAAGTTCGGAAATTTGAGGTTTGTCTTTCCTGCATCAAAATTATTATTATTATTATTATTTTAGCTTTATTTAAAACATCTGTTAGAATTATAGAGGTCGCAAGCTGTGGCTAAGGCAACATTAAGAGTGCTGACCTACATGCCTAAGCTCCCTACGTGCTACAACTGGGGGAAAGCGATGTTTACAACAGTGGAGGGCAACACAGGGGATCTTAATACATGAATCTGACCCGAAGCCTCCCTCATGCCAGGCAAGCCCTCTACCGCTGAGCTGCTCTTCCAGCCCTCCGTGTTTCTGTGCCACGTTTCTCCCAGTGCGTGGTTTCCAGCAAAGCATGGTAAGTGTCTGAATGAGAGGGCCTCTCCCTGGATAAGTGTGGCTACCTCAGACTTCACTCTCCCCTGTGTCCACAGGTATTTCTTAAGGGTACAAAATGCCATTTGGTGGCCTTTCACAGGTACAGCCATCACCCACTCTCCAGGAAGGTATGGTTCACTTCCTTCCCTGCACTCTCCTATAACCTGGAGCTGCTGATCTCAACCTACATAATGCAACTGGAAATGAAAGGCATGCATCTCCGAAAATGCGATTTTCCCCGCTGTATGACAATCTTTACACCAACCAAACACTCATAAGTCTGCTCTTCAATAAAGTGCTTTCCTCACTGTGTTGTTGATGCTGCACAGATTACAAAGGATGCACGGCATGCAGTTTCTATGCAGAACTTACAGGCTCACATCGCATCTTTTCTATTAATTCCAGGGAACTGGCTTTTATCACCACAGTGAAACATACTTAAAAACTTTTCAATCCTATAGAAGTGTAAAAGAAGCAAATGCACTGATGATCTCTCAGTGCTCCCCGCTGCCCCAGCCCCAGGCTGGATCCCAGTGGTAGGAATTGTTGTAGCACAGAGATAACCATTCGTGATCTACAAACCTGGAATCCAAAACATGCTGACTTACGCAAACATGGCTACTTTGGAATATTGTAGACTTTGTATATTTGGATTAATGATATTCTTGTGATAGTCTCTCAAAGAGGAGGAGAAAGAGGAATAAGTAGAGGAAAAGGAGGAAGAGGAGAAGGCCACCCTGAGTTCTGAATCACTTCTGCTCCTGAGCATCTGGGATAATGGATACTGAAACTGTAATGGCTTTCAATGACTCACAACCTCGTCCACTTCATCCCCTTGTTATTCAGGCTTCCTGCCTGACTTCCTGCAGCTGACAGGACATTAGCAAACAGGACAATCAGAGGCCCAGTGGCACAGTTGCACTCGTGGGCACATTTTGCCTAGAAAACTGGTACCCAGGGTGCAACAGTGGCATGGCAATTATAGGGTAACCAATAGTGTTCTGCCTGGATTTGGGGTCTGCTTCACATAACAGAATGCAGACCTGATACTATAAAAAAAGCCAAAAGCCCACGGCTGGGGAGGTCATAGTCTCTGAGGTGGCACCTATTATTGTTACTTGGCTAAATGGCTATGCAGTTGAGCTGTCTTCTAACTATTTAATTTAGATCTGTGGTTCTAGGATGCTCTCCCCTCAGAGAAAGACACTCCTTGTGCTGGGCAGCAGTTATGCGGACTTCTTCCTGTCAGATCACCTTTTACAGTGAAGCCAGCTCACCAGGGATCAGCTGAGCCAGGCCATGTGTGGCCCAGTGAATTGAGAGAAATAAAGAAATAATGAAAGCAGGTGTGTTGTTGAAGCCGTGGCCTTTTGAGGCAAATTTTCACATAGTAAAATCTAATGACATCTATGGATGAAGCTTGGAGGGCCAAATTAAACGGCGACCCTATGAGACTAACTGTTCTATGTTGGAGGACGGTCTTGTGTGCTTTGTTTTCAGAGATCTGGTTGCACTCTGGCTGTGGGCACTGTCATGATCATTGATCAGAGTGGTGTCAACATTGCTCCCCGGTTATCTCTGATTGGTTAATAAAGAAGCTTAGCAGCCTATAGCTAAGGGTGAGAGAGGACAGGGAGGCTGGACTTCCTTTGGCATGTAGGAAGAGAGGGAGGTAGAGAAAGGATGTGCTCTCAAGGATGGAATTAATGGAGCAGATGCAGCCCAGGAAGGACTTATATGGCAAGTAATTCAGGGCGTGTGGCTGAGAAGTAGCCAAAATAGCATAGAAGGCTGGAATAGATGGATATCTGTCCAGCTCTAGTACTTAAAGGCTTGTTGAATAAATCTAATAGGTGTCAGTTGTTTGGGAGCAAGAGAAAATGATTTTAAAAGGTTCCAAAAATATACTTTATTTGCACGGAGGCTCTGGGGGAGTGGAGGCCCAGCCAGGATACGCTCTTCAAAGTGAAAGACTGTAATGGCTTACGCAAAATTGCACCATCACCATCAAACTGAGAGGAAAATGAAAGTAACTTACCCCACACTCCCATAAATACTGCAAAGATCAGGGTCCCAAAACTGTCAAAGATGCACAATTTCTGGAAGACAGAGCAATGACACGGAAATAGGTGAATTCTTCACTTATCAGAACTCAGCAAATACGTAACCCTCTGGATGACCGGCAGCCTGGAGTGTTCGCCAGCCTGATGCTGGTTTTACAATCCCAACACGTATGACATAATCACAGATGGAGTTTCTCACATTTTAAAAGCAAACAGCTTTCGCTGTCTGGGCCCGAGTGCATTTTCTAGTGGAATCTTCCCACACCGCGATAAAGGAATAGACACATCTGCTACGATTGCAGGCCGTTAAAGCCTCTTTTATGAGCTGTCAGAGTGAGCAGAAGGACTCGGCGAGTGGCTCAAAGAATCTAGTGCCCTCTAAGCAACTTTATGATTCGCCTCTTATCATTGTCTCATTTCCCTCAGAGGATAAATTCCAGAAATACTTCTTTTCTTATAAAAAAAAAAAAAAAAAAACACACACACACACACAAAGCTGAGTTTATGTGGCGATGGCTGTCCTCCAGGCGTGCCCTGCTTCCACCGACACGAGGACAGCTTTGCCTCTGTGACTGAGGAGTGTTTTCGGTGGGATAAAGGCCGTGCATGCATTGCTGATGCCACCGGTCCAATTACCACGAAGGATCACTCTTTCACCGGGGCAGCTCTGCCGCTGCTGCCAAACTCAAGCTCTCTGGTGATATATATACACAGCCTAGCTGCCTTTACGACTTGCTGGAAAAATCTTTTAATTGGTTAATTGGTTTATTTTAATTGGTTAATTTTCACTAGTAAGTGTTTAAAAGACTTCTTTAAGAACTCCTAAATGGAACAGAAGAGGGGGGAGGCATGAATTTGGCATGTTTTACAGAGGCCACATGAAGAGTAGGGGCTGGTGTCCAGAGGCTCCAGGTGGGCAAGGGAACTTTCACAGTGACACCATTCAAAGCTGTTTCTAAGTGGGAGGTTACTTTGCTGTGGACAGTTCTTTCAGCTGCTTTTATGCTCACACAAGGTGATATAATTTTCATGTTTGCAAAATCATTGGTTTCTTTTATTAGAAGGTATGCATCTGGATAGTTATATTGTCATCTATCTGGTTTCCAAAGCAGAAAAAAGTTCCCTCAATCATCCATGTGGATTTTGATCAAACAGCATGACTCTAAAACGGTCTCGGGAAACAATTCCCTTTTAAAAAACCAAATTAAACCAACAACAAAAAAAAACCCCAAACCCTCCAGGCTAGGTTAAGGAAGATGGATTTGTCACGCCTGGCTGGAACCAGAGCAAAGGCATGTCCCACAAATGATGCTTTCTGTCTCTTTTATCTTTGCCTTTTAGAAAACCACCTATTCCAAGATGCCTTTTGACATTATGCTATACATTTTAGTTCAAATAACTTCACCCAAAGTACTATGAAAAAGACTCCAAATGTGTAATCTTCTCTTTCAACAACCTGTCCAATGCTTCTTCCATTTTGGATTGGTACCAGTCATGCCAACTGCCAAGTTCCCAATGAAGGAGGTGCCTGGTACCCCAGGGCAAGGTTAGACATAGATGAAGCTGCCGTGCTAGCCTCATATGTCAGAATGATGCACACAGGAATGGAAGTAGGCCTTTCCCTTTCTGCTTTGTCCCATGAGCCCTATGGAAGCAGGAGTAGAGGAGATGGTAAGGTGTATGCTTCTTAGAGGCCTAACTTAGCTTGATCGGCTGCTGGCACAGTGGACCAGACGCCATGTTGGGAGCAGCCCCAAGTCAGCATTCTGCTGGAGTCACGTCACTGAGTGAATATCTCTTCAGAAGAGAGGTAGAAGCTAGTAAGTGTATTATCAGTACTGAACATGAAAGAAATAAGAAACTCTTTTTTGGCCTTAACTCCTTTCACCATTTCTCCCAGATTCTTTTCTTTGTCTCACAAGATTCAAGGAGTCCTTTAGGAACCACAACAGAACCAAAGACCTTCCCCTAAGCAATGAAGGGCACTTGATAGTCCTGAGCTAAGGTGCGGAGGGAGTGAAAGCTTTAGGTGAGGAGGGGAGGGAGGAGGAAAAGATGCCTTCGGAAGGGTCCTCCTCCTGCGGCTTGTTGGGAGCATGACCACTGTACCTGCCTTAGGTACAGAGAGCCTCAGAGCATGTGCTAACATCTGCCCTTTAATTTATCCGTCCAACACGGGCCAGCAGCATCTCTGAGTCTCATTTTGTGTCATCTACGCAAAATGTATAGTTTTCTAGTCTACAGCCCAGCCATTGCCTTGGCTCAAGGGGCTGGGCGGTGAAATATTTTCTAATCTAGACACCAAGTGCAGAAACCAACAGGGCCGACAATGTACCACAGTCACTGTAAGTAGCAGGAGGACAAGTTTTTCAAACACAAATCTGGATTTCTAAGTTCCTCAGAGAGGGAATAATTTGTATGTTATGTTTAAGCAACTCCTTTATGTGAACATCTGGGACATTGAAAATTACCTTAGAAGATTCACAGGTGATATTCAGCCTCCAGAACGGACACAGCCTGTCGCACTGGGGACACATCAGGATCTGGCCGCCGATATCAGGATCACAGACCTCTTTGCTAACAAAAGAGAAATGAAGCAACTCAAAAAACCCAAACACAAGGCTTTCATTTTCTATCAGCATAGTGAAGTCCAAGTTCACTCATGACAAGCAACAAAACTGAAGCCGACAAAACCGGGTCACAGGTGACAGTCACCATTCTGATAAAGGCCTGCCACACAGAAGCTATACAAAGCACACAGAATAGTCAATGATCTACATCCTTTCTTTAAAAACAATTTTTTTTTTTACATATTTAAAAAAATTTTAACCTTTACTTTTATTTATCTGCATGGGTGTTTTTCCAGCACGTATGTCCGTATACCGCATCACAGAAACCAGAAGAGCACACTGACCCTGGGCCTGGGGTTATAGATGGTCGTGAGCCAACAAGTGGGGGCTGGGAACCGAATTCAAATCCTCTGGAGGAGCAGTCAGTACCCATAACTACTTATCTCTCCTGCCCCTACAAAATATCCTTTTTATTTATTCTTTGAGAATGTCATACGGTGCCCAGACCGTAACTCAGGGCTACGACACAGGGTCCTCCTCCACAACTGCTTTGGCAGGAGGGCTTTAAAGCCCAGGGATCCCAGGGAAGCGAGGCTGTGAGTCCTGGCACGACGTAAACCCACTGCCCCCCACAGTCACGGCCGGCTCCGCTCGCCACCCGGCAGCCTGCCGGTCTCCATAAAACCCTTCCGGTTGCTGTTTTTATTTGATGTAGAAATTACACTTCTATTTCTCCTTCCACGAGCCTCAGAGAGAAGAAGACCCCAACGACCCCCATGGCCCCCACCCCCACACAGAGATCCTAGTACTTGTCATAGCGTTGCGTCTAGCCTTGAATCCAGAGGTAATAAGAACATATTTAGTGAAGTCTGTGGACACAAAATCAATATATATATATATATAAAGTATACACAGGGAAACAAAAGCGATTTTCTCCTTATCTACCTGAAACAATTGGGAAATAATTTTAAAAAACACTATTTTTTCAGTAGCTTAACAAGTATAATATCTAGGAATGAATCTAATCAATGATGTATTAAAATTTATATGAAAAAAAAAAAAACAAAACCAAACCCTACAAAACATTGTCCAACACAGTGAAGAAGATCTATATTGGGAGTTTCAGAGTTGTTTGGTGGGGATTAGCACTCGTGTTAGATCTTTTCCATTTGCCCTAAAAAAATCTCATGGGGTGCTCAAAGATCATAACAGACAAGTTGCTAATTAGACACTGCCAACAGAGGCTAAAACAACGACAGCATCACAAGATGAAACATGCAAAGATTTATACCTATATTCAAAGACCTGGCCCCCAAATTAGGAAGATAAGAACGGCAGCTCAATTCACGATACACACACACACACACACACACACACACACAACAAAAACAAAAACAAAAACAAAACACATGAACTTTAATAAAGCCCAGTTGGACCACATTAAAAAAAAAAATCAATTCTTTTTGAGAAATGACAATGACGCCTACAGAGCAGAAAGAGAAGACAGATGGGGCTGGAGACACTGCTCTTGCAGAGGACCCGAGTTGGGTTTGCAGCACCCGCACAGAGCGGCCCACAACCGCCTGTAACTGTAGCCTGGGGCCAGAGGCCATCACTGGCCTTTGGGGGCACCTGTGCTCTCATGCGCACGTGGGCATACATGTACACACACAAACGCACACACGTAATTGAAAATAGAAGAAGTGCTTTTAAGAGAATAGATCAGCAACGTGAGTATCTCAATGATCTTAGGTTAAAGAAAAATGCTGCCAGCGTGGAAACAAAAACCACAGAGGAAGTTACTGATACACTCAAGATTTACTGAGAAGAGGCAAGAAGCTTCGACTGCTCCTAACTGTGATGCCAGTTCAGATGGACCCAGCTAGCATGGGGACCAGCTTTATGGCTGTTTAGGTGACCTTGCAAATAACAGAGAAACAAATGGGTTTGGGAAGCATGTCTGAGACAACCCAGTAAGCTCTAACAAAAGCTACTCATTCATAAAAAAAAATGAGAACAATGAAAAAACCGACAAAAATGTTCTAACCCTCCCTTTTCAGAACTCTGAAAGTTAACCAAATGATTCCCCGTCAGAAACCCGGGGCCCAGACACAGCAGGACAGTGTTTGCTAAGTGATAAAAGCTGTGTCCCCAGACTCTATACCAGCAGAGCTGGTCATCAAGAATAAATGAGGAAAAACAACTGGGTTCACAAGCCCGGCAGGACACAGCGCTTGTTCCTTCCAGGGTCTGCACAGCCCTCAAGAGACACCAAATTGCTATCTTGATCTTGAACTTCTAAGGTGTAGAACTGTGAGAAATGAGCCTCATTATTCAAACTTCCCCAATTGTCAAATTTGTTATATCAGCTAAAACAGAAGAAGACAGATCTGATAAAGGACTTATAAAGGTCAACACAATTACAGGATGAAGACATCTCTCCAACGTCACACTGATGATAATCCC